ACTCTCTCTTTCTCACTTGTTTCATCATTTTTCTCGATCGTTATTCTAATGTACTTGTTTTTCTAATTGATGCTAGAGAGAGAAATAAATATAGTGTATTATATTGTATGTTTTTATGAGTCTATGAATTGTAGAGTCGTACTTTGGTCTGAATATTATAGTCATACAGCATACATGTTTAGATTATATTTATTTGCTTCTTTCTATAAACAAATCATCGAGAGTACAATTATAAATTTTAACGCTATTGATTATCTGCCATCGAACTTGTCACACATCTAGGGATCTTACTTGTCTTCCTTCTAGAATTGAAACGAACTTTCATTAACATCGAAAGAGTATATCCATTTTCAATTTTCGACGGGGACTTAGCCTCTCTCCGTTCCTCCCTTAGAGATCTGTTCTGACTCTGTCACTAATTTGTGATTGGCAAAAGAGGATTATTAGAGTTACAATAATGTAATTTGTAATGTGCAAATAAATATGGACTCGAAAATCTTTTGAGAAAGTATCTCGTATCAACAAAAATGATTTTTGTTTGAAATAGTCAACAACAATCTGTTTCATTTCTCTTTATGTCTTGAGGCAAAACAGAACAGTATTTGATCAAGAAAACATTATACACAAAGATTTTGCTTTGAGATTAAAATAACAACTATAATATTGTAAAGATTTTTTGTCAAATATTGACAAGCAATTCATATGTTAGAATAAATGTGGTTTGACCTTCATTCGATAAACATCGATCATAAACATGCTTAATCACCTATATAACAGTGAACTACGTATGTAATGTTTTATTATTTAAATATAAATCATGTAAACGAAAAAGCAAATCAACAGTATTTGCAGTTTTGTATATACAGTAGTGGCCAAAAGTCCCGACCCTAGAGGATCTCAGCCATTATAAGTGCTGGATGTCTGAAAATTTGTGTGCGCATACTCCGTCAAGAATGTAGGTCAGAGACACAATTCTGCCTCGATTGCTTCAGTATAAAGAGAATTATGATAGATGGTATCTATTTTTGTATTGAGATTTTTAACCTGAAAAAGGACTGTCCACTCAATTTTACACTATTTTTTTACCAAATACATAACTAAAGTTTGATATTATTGCATGGAATTGGAGCTCAGTCTATGATCTTTCTTAAACCAAAATATGAGTTCATTTGTTCGAATATTGGCGTTTCTGCATGTCTCTGCATCCTCAGATTCACCAATGCGATGGTAATAGCCATGCTATTTTCCATCAGTACACAGTTCATTTATGAAACTTATGGACACTAATGTGCAACTACAGGAGACGCTTTTGCAAGAATTTGAGCTTCATCCACTAAATTGTTACTGAGTTACCGTCTTAAAATGATACCAGAGGATTTTTTTCCATATCATCGGTCATAGTAAATTGGCCATAATTCTAAAGAAAATTGACAAACTGCAATAAAATTAGTTGTGTGGATAGCTGAAATACAGCGCTACACAATGAACCATTAGCTGACCTACGAAGTCCAGCTTTTCCAGAGTTATGAAGTTCAAAGGCGAAATATGTGTCATCCATTGTCATCCATCATAATTCTCTTTATACTGAAGCAATCGAGGCAGAATTGTGTCTCTGACCTACATTCTTGACGGAGTATGCGCACACAAATTTTCAGACATCCAGCACTTATAATGGCTGAGATCCTCTAGGGTCGGGACTTTTGGCCACTACTGTATTTAACATAAATACAACCTTATCATGCAAATATATTCACATATACGAAGGATTGTAGGTAATAAGATTGATTATGTACAAAATATTGAAACCAAATTTAATCAATAACTCAATCTGCCTTTGGCTTTGAATATTTGCACAATTCAATGCTTATGAATATAAGAAAAACAGTTTTTCATGTCTTAACAATCGATCGACGTAAAACATCATCGAAACTCATTGAATATTCTATAGAAAATTATTGTAGAATCATATCTAAATACATAACATATTAGACCATCGATTATTTTTGAACACAAGAATGTTCAGACTACAAACTGGCAATAGGTATTTGTTGAATAGTTCACGAACTAGTAGTTTTTTTTATTCAAGAAATCTTTCTAAAAATAAGTCGAATTGATTTACTGAATATAAAAATGCATGATTTGTCGTTGTCGTGTTACAGTATTCTTTACTTGGTTTCCACTTGAAATTTTCTCGTTTGTTATCATTGAATCATTCGAAAAGTTATACGTTCTTTTCATCTATCGATTAAACACGTATTTTATTGTTAAATAGTGGCACCTTGTTTCGCAAGATTAGAGCTAATCTAGACAAGGAAACAGCATATCCGAAAAAAATTCATTTCTTTTGACGAAAAATATATTTTGATTTATCGAACAATAATTATTGCTCAATTTACTCGCTTGCTATAGAATGAAAGCAATTAGATTTGTCCATATGACTCGATGAATAATAGGCAAATCACCAAATTGAGCAAGGACAAAAGCAAGAATGAAATAAATAATCATTCAATATTGGTATGTGCCCACAACCCAATCCATCATCGAATTAATATCAAGTGAATATATTGGAGGGGGCCACATGTCTGATCTCTTTTTTTTCTAAGCCGGTGTTCACAATTTTCGAGCCGACCTAGAATAACAAGGCTAGAAAGGTGTTCGTTTGTCAGGCCGAAGTGCAAGTTTCGAAACTTCATACTCAATAAGACAAAATACACGAAAAGCTATCGCTACAAACTCATATATTTATGACGTTGTATCATTACATGCCTCTTATTAAAAAATCCTAAAAGACAGTTCGATAGAGAAAAATTTTCTCTATCAATTGATATTAAAGCTATAGCTAGCCCCACCCAAAAAAGCACCTGACCAATCACCGGGCGTTTACTATTGTTTCACTTATTTCTCTGTAGTTTGCCACATAAGGGTTCGTATCATATCTTCAATGATGGATGGGTATTTTCTATAATTCAGATCAAATTATCAGATGTTGTCAGTAATTGATTGTATCATTGGAATAGTTACTTGAGTACACTCTAAAAAAATAGGTTTATTACTGAACCTTAAAATTTTCGCATTTGGATACGGAACTTTTTTAGGTTTCGTAAAATGAAAATCGTTCCGCGCTTGCCTTGCCAAACCTCTTGTAGTTCAGAAAAAAAGCAAAGAGTTTCGCACTTTTCATACGAAGCCATCATGCTTCCCTACGATCAAAAAGAAGTTTCGTATCGTCTGTACGGAATTCCGTATGGTTTGGTAGAATAAGGAAAGATTCTGTATGATTTGTAGAGAATCTTCGATAATTTCGTCTAATACAAAAAGTATTGTATTTTTTGTACGGAACCTACTGTGTGTGGTTGATAAAGTGAAAGATTCCGTAGTTACCTTACGAAACCTTTCACAGTTTCATAGAATGTACGATGATATCATATTTTTCTTCCCGAACTATTGTTGTACTTTGAGAAAAGAAAAAGGATCTATATATTTTCTACAAAATCTTCTACGTGAGCGATTTCTATCAAAGATTTCTTCTAAGCCTTTTTCTGTGTGGCCGGAACACGAAAGATTTTATACAAAACCATTAATATCAGCTGCATGTCAAAGAGTTTCATGTAAATCAACTCACCTAGACGACATATGAAAATGGTTCCTGATTCTTTAAAATCATTCGATATTACATGATTAGAATGGTATTTTCGTTTATTCTTCACTATCACTAAACACTGTAATTGTTATGAGTCAATGAGATTGGAAGTCATTAGAATCGATTTATTACTATAAAACTATTAGATATAGAGACTTTTTGCTATTATCTCTATTTCTCATCCTACTTTGCTTTCTCGTATAATATACCATTAGGTACTGCTCTCGCATGTTGATGTTATGAAGAGTGAGAGTTATATCGAGCGTATGCGCACCAAGATATAGTTATAATGGTATTGCTCCAAGAGTATAGGTGTAACGGTACACAGATAACGATATAGACATAAGAATACAAGTAAAAGGGTATAGGTGGATTGGACAGGTTTAAGGACATAGTTATGAAGGTATACGTCCTAGAGTATAGATCTAACTATAGAGCGGTACGAACATAGTCAAAAGGATCTACTTATGAGGGGTTAAATATAAGAATAAGAGCTTAGGCATAGAAACAAAGGATCAGATGTAGTTATCAGGGTTTAAGCATAGAGATACTAAATTAGGTATACAAACAAAGGATTATATATAGTTATAATAGATTATATATAGGAAAAGAGATTAAGTACAGGAAAAAGGCTGTTGGCATAGAAATAAGGGATTAGACATAGGAATAAAGGATTAGATATAAGTATAAGGAGTTACACATAGTTGTAAGGATTAAATATAGGAATAAATGTTTAGATAAAGAACTGAGAGGTTAGGTATAGAAACAAGAGATTAAGTATAGGAATTAGCATTTAAGTGTAGAAATAAGGGATTAGATTTAAGTATAAGAGATTACACATAGCTACAAGTGGTTAAATATAGGAATAAGCAGTTAGATATAGTTATAAGTGATTAAGTATAGGCGTAAAGATAAGTATAGAAAAAAAAGGTGTAGGGATAAGTAGATAAGGCTAATTGTATTCATGTGAAAATCACTACGAAATTCTTCGTACAAAAATCTTATTTTCGATTTGGTAAAAAGGTTCTGTAGGAAATCTCTCTCACGAAATCTTTCTTGCAGCAGCCCAGAAGATGTTTGAGACGAAACCTTTTTTCTATGAAACCAAAAAAGATTCTTCCCCGTACTCGCGGAAAGAATCTTTTTTCGTTTCGTAAAAAACCTTCTTTGTTTAGAGTGTAACTGTTCACATTGAATAGAAATTAGGACGAAGAATAAATTTCAACGATAAATACAAAAAAAAAGATGATTCCCTTGTGAATGTGGAGAATCTCATTGATTTTCTTCTATTTGTATTTAATTGTTTTTCTAAATTTCAACTGATTTTATTTCGTATGTATTTCAGATCGAGAAAAATAAGATGCCTTACTCTTCAAATCCTTATTTATTCGAACGAATAACTAGAGAAATTGTTTTTTCTCATTTAACTGCCACTATATGCCAATCAATTATATTACCAAAGATAGAATATCAATCATCTCGTTTTTCATCAAATACTGATGAAACAAAATTAGTTGTCAATGGTACAGAAAAAATTTTAATGATCGATCAACATCTATCGACAGGATTTGAGTAACTCGAAGCTTATCTCTACTTCCGATTTGATTTTAATCAAATACTTCGTTCGAATATTCTATCAAGCTTGAAAGACGATTTATTTATTATTGGTGAATGTCAAATTCCTATCTATACCGAAAAAGAAAAACTTATTGATGAAATATTATCCGATGATTTCAAATCGACCGATATTATCTTTCCCGATCAATCACTAGCTACTATTAATGATAATATTCAATTTTGTAATGATAAACAATCAATGGTGATAAATTATCGATATTGTATTTTTGAAAGTAGTGTATTAAAAGTGGAAAGTGTCCTTGAAAAATTATTACAATTAGAAAGATTATTTAGCATTCTTTACCGCTCGTCATTTATTTCGATTAATAAAATGTCATCGATTATTTTCAACGAAAACAACCTTCCCATATAATTTTCATCAATTGATTGAATCTATTCAATCAAATCATTTTGAAAAAATTACTGATGAAATTATCTCAACATTAACACCTGTGACACTTTCGGGCACTGAATTTGTTGGTTTTCTTATGCCCATGAATCTCCAATCTGATATTATTAAACTTCTCAGCAATTCGAATATTTCTCAAGAAAATCAAGTTCAATGTCGATTTCATGTCCTCAATGCAATGTTAAAAACCGGGCGACTGTTATTTTATCATGTAAACGACACATAGAAAAGATGACATCGAGCAATATTGACCAGTATGACCTTATTATCTGAACGAATATTAACTATTGAAATTCTACAAAAATCTATTCAAATTGATTTGAATACTGCTGCTGATAAAAAAAAATTGTCAAATAGAATCGATTAATAGAATTGATCAATTATTAAATAACATTACCGAGAGCATTTGTTCAAACCATAATATCGAGAAGAAAATGTATATAAACCCAGATCGAACAAGTACGGTCGTCAACGACCGTATACGGAGAAATACGGCTGTATAAGCTCGGAAATGACCGTGCACGGGCCGTTTCTCTCCGTATACGAACTCTACAAATCTCATTCAGAGAACACACAAAACATCAACATGGAAATCAATGATCTTTAAGGAAAAATCAATATGAAGATTGATGAAATGCAAAAATCTACAAATGACGAATTGAAGAAGATTATTAAACTAATAACTTTCAATGAAAAAAACAAAATCGATCGTGTTCTAGTATTTTATTGTAATCAGAGATATTCTTTCTTCGTCGTGTTATCGTCATTTTTGATTCAATCTATTAATAAACATTTCTCCCATTGAACAATGAAGAAAATCTAATTGATCAAAATAAAATCAATGTTTATTATAAAGAGTTGATTTTGAACTTTATTTGATAAAGAAAATCTTCCTCAAAAAATTCTTTGATTCTTTTCTTGTTCTGAATCATTTCTATTTTTATCATGATTGTTTTTTTCTTCTTGAACATATTAATATTAATAGTAGTGTGCTTTTGATGACGATCTTTAATATCTTTTGGACCTCCAATCAGTATCATGAATTTTTTTCAAGTCAAAGCTCATTAAGCAGTGTCTACTATCATCTCTCTTCTTATTTGACACATTCAATGATCAAGAATCTTCTCAACTTTGATCATTTGAAAAATATTTTTGTAAAAGGAATTCTTTTCATATTTCATAAATATTCAACAAATCAAGAGCAAAGATTAATTGTAATGAATGCTTGTTATTTATTCTCTTCACCTTTTAGATGAGTAAAAACGAATTTTTGATCACCAAACAATTTGAGAAACAAATCATGATCAAAAAATGATAATTTTGATCATCACATATTTTTATATACAAATGATCACCCAAAAAAGATGCTTTACATCACCAAGTTTTTCAAAACATGATGTTGCATCATCTTTTTCTTATTTATTCAGTATCACTTACATTTCATCAGCTTTTCCCTTCTTCTTTATGTTATACAAAACACTTTAAAGTATTCATTCTGAAAAATGTCAACATTAAACTGATCTCTGTTAAGTATAGTTCATTCATTTGATGATGTTAAAGTTGTTGCTAAATCAAATGGTGTATGTCAATATCGAATAAGTAATCCTAAAAGTTCGACAAAATATTCATTTAAATGCTGTCAATATCGTAAATATCCTTTAAGCAATCATGAAATTAAGGCAACTGTACCAGATGATGATCCAAATTCGATTGCAGTAATGTGTTCAGAAATACTCACAAACATAAATATTGTACTGAAACATCTCGTTTATCATCTCCAATACGGCAATCTGTTTCTAAATATGTTCATATCGGTTTAACGGAATCTCAAATTCGTTCAATACTTCTGCTTGATCATCAAAGCTCATCAGTACCATCAACCAAATTAACATCATTGGTTCAAGCAGAACGTCGAGAGAATCGTCCCAAAATCTTCTCAGTTTTCGATTTTTGTCAATGGTACAGTGACCATCAAGATGGTACTGCACGACATTCCACATTTGTATCATTCTCTTTTATTAATGATATTAATGACCTGTTTGTTCTATCTACTATAATAGAATTAATTCGACAAACTCAATGCAGCCCACTATTACAACTTGATCGAACGTATAAGTTAACGTGGGACGAAGTACTTCTCTTGATATTTGAAGCGTCTGATTGTAACAGCTGATTTATTCAATAAAAAATGATGATCAATTAATAACATTGTCTCGTGCAATGAGAGCTGTTTGTCTTGGTCCAAATTTTTCTAGAACGAAAATGTTTGTTACTAATAACACATCTGTAAGTTAGTAGATTTATTAATTAAAAATTCATCAAAATTTCCATTTTTAATAGCTTATCTTAAATGAAAGAGATACGTTTGGTCGACATAAAACAGCAACATTATTAGAATTAAATGGTAGCCTTATACGAACACTTTGTTGGAAAGAAACATTAATTGTATGTACTAATAACAAAGTATTTTTAAAAAAAGTTATTTTATTTTTAAAAATTAAAAGATGTTCATATTTATGATTTGTTGCACAACGATTAGTTCGATCTAAAGATTATTTTATTTAAACTTCGCTGTAGTGTTTAGCCAAATCGAATATCATGGAATGATCTGACAACATTAGCTATTGCATATGCTAAAACTATTAAAATAATGTCGATTTCAACGGAAACCAATTATGAACATCAATCATCTGCACCTAGAAAATATATAAATACAGGTTAGAAAATAGCCATTTCTAACCTTTATATAGACTAAAAGCGTCGTCCTTATCGATATTGAAGATACATAAGAAATATTCGAACTTGAACTTCAGCCTAAAGTATAATAAAAATTAGTCAATGGACAATACATTATCATGTTAAGACTGGTTACCAAAGAAATTTTATTAGTCTTATTGAAAAATAGTTTAAATAGAAGTTAGGAAGATTAATAAGATTCTAATCAAGGATAAAAACAGTAGATATGGATATAAGTATCCTATCATCAGAATAGAAGACTATGAGTTTTTCAAAACATTTCCTAGCAATCCAGCGAATATCGGTGAGTTTTAGCAGTTAAAACTTTCGATAAGAAAAAAAAGTGTTTCCCATCATTTACGAGGGAACATATTCAACTATCGAACGCCATTCGACTCCAGATCAATAGCTTACTGATGAAAAGTTATAGCCATTTTAATGATATTGTTCTTGAGAACAAGACATTTCCTGGAAAGTCAAAAACAATGAATTTTGATCTGAAAATTTTGCCTATAGTTACGCTTGATAGTTCTGAGAGTTGCAACGGAAACAAACGAGTTTTTCTCGAAATATTCGATTTTGAAGTCGATTCAATTACTGTGTCAAATTGCTGCTTTTCTTCGATATTGAATACCTCGAGACAAACATACTCGTTTTCATTGTATCAAATATGCGTATAGGCAAAATTTTAGGTCGAAACCAAAGAGATAAGTGCAACACCTCAGTACTCCATTGTACTACCACCAGGTGCTGAAAGTTAGATAAGGATGTACTTTTTGGACTACGCAAAAACGAACAAATTAATAGTTTATTTAGAAGAAAAAAAGTATTTATATCAAAGGAGAGAAAGAAAAAACAACCGTATTCTTCTTCTTTCTTAGACGATCAATATCGAAAGAAAATGTCCTTAAGTTAACAGAAAAGAGAAAACGAACATGAAATATGTCCTTGAATTAAAAGAAAAGAATATGAGTCAATGGTATACACAAAAGACGAAATTGAAGAAGAACATATACAAAAAAAACAAAGAATAAAGAGTAGCGGAAAGAGAACACCAAGTCGTTATATACATATAACGATTGAAGAATAATCCTTGCTCGTTTATTATGTAATACTGAAGATGTCAAAAAGATGCTGCAGGTGCAGGAGGTACTGCAGGTACTGGGGTTCCAAACCGACACTTTTCTTCTTGATAGATCCCCGCGTCCTCTTTTATCTGAACTTTCTTTATAAATGATTCCTTATGACATTATAATAATTCAAATAGAAGGCAAATATTTATGATCTTAAATTGAAGTTTTCACTTCGAAAACTTTCTATATTGAAATATGAATATAGTTTGTTATTTCATAATAGATGTCTAATTTTCGAAAGCTAAGCTTCGATGGAAAGCGCAGTAAAAAAAATTTATATTTTATTCTACAAAAAAAAGCAAATTATTTCAAATTGTATAACATCAATATTTTCTTCCATAGATAAACATACAAATAAAAACTTAAGATTGATCGTATTGAATTCCAATAAGAACTTATATATTCTTATCAATAAAAACATGAATATAAATCATTGAAAAATATTCAATGATCAAACAGGAAAAAAAATATAACACACTGATTTATTTATTTATGTTTTTATTTTGGTTTTCATGAAATAATAATTATATTCTGATTCGATACTGTTTACACGTGTTCTTTTTTTTTTTTTTTGTTCACATTAATGAATTCATTAAACTTAGCAGCTTTTGAGATAATAGAGAAAAAATACATATTATCAATGACAGGTGAAAAATTGATGCTTGACTAGTCTTTTCAATAATCGATGCTTGATTATTCTTTTTAATAATTGTAATATGATTTTCAGTTTTTGCTGAACATTCATTCCTCCAAAATTGTACAGTTGATGGAATAGTTAATTTTTTAATTTCACTTTGATTAACTTTTAAATGCATCATAGATGCTGTAGACATATTACTAATCGGTGGCCATTCATTTTTAAATCTAGAACTAATTGGTCGACCATATCTAATAAAATTTGACCATTGTTCTAATACTTGTTTACTAAATTGAATTTGTTCATTAGTATACAAATGTGTTATATTATGATTAATTGTTGTATTTGATAAATATCGAACATATTTTATTAATGGTATTATATTATGAGTAAAATTATTTATTTCATATAATAATGGTGTACCCCATGTATATTCAAGTTCAGCAAAATGACCAACTAAATCATGTTTATGTAAATAAGCATTACATTGTGTTGGATGTTCTTGTGCTGTTCGATGTGTATATTGATATATATATGTACGATTTGAATATTTTAAACGTTCTTCTATAAAACGATAATAATCATTATTAAATAAAATATCACTTATAAGACGAGAATAATTATAAAATAATGAACAATAACAATCATATGATTGAGAACAATTTATTGGAATATTATTGATATGATATCTATTAGTGAATAAAAATAAAAAAGAATGTTAGATATTTAAGTTAGAATTATTATTAAATAGACTTACAATTCTAAAGCTTTATGATGTAAACAAGTTTTATCCGGTTGCATTGCTGCAAGAAATTTCAAAGTTACTGCAGTAAAATTTACATTATGAAGCGTTATAGGTTCTTGATGACGTTGTTCTATAAAAATAGGTACTATTGCAACATAAATACCTAATATTCAAAAAAAAAAAAACAAATAAAGAAATTGAAAATATTCAATTTAAAATTATTTACCTTCATCATCTGTTGATCCCATAAGTATATCAACATTTGCTAATGTATCATTTTCTTCAAATACTTCTCGAAATTTGCTCATAAAATTTCCATTAATAACGACATTTGTATGATTAGCACTTGTATATGAATGATGTTCATGTTCAGCAATTGAATCAAAATCGCGTTCTTTTAAACATTGTAATTTTTCATCAAATGTTGTCATATTTCCACATCCATTATCATTAGCAACAGTATTAAATTGTTCCATTGCATTTTGTGCTTTTAAATGTGACCATATATGAAATGGACTACCACTTTGTAATAATAATCGACGTATTCGTCCATTATTTAACGGTGATATTGCCAAATAATAAGCATGTGGTGCACCAGCTGAATGACCACCAACTGTAATACGTTGAATATCACCACCTAATGCATCACCATTTTGATATATCCAATCAAGTACTAATGCTTGATCATATAAACCAAGGTTACCTTCTAAACGATCATCACCTGATGATAGAAAACCAAAAAGATTTAGACGAAAATTAAATGTTATGACAATAATATCGCCTACAGCAGCAAGTACAGTTCCATCAAATATATTGCCTGTGCCGATTTGACCCGAACCACCATGAATCCACATAAGTAAAGCCTTTTTTCTTTCATTGTTTGGAGTCACCGGAATAAAAACATTTAAAAAAAGACATTGTTCAACAGGAATTGATTTAACAGAAAAAATACCATAATTAACTGAACAATAAGGTGCTAAAGGATATACTCCTGAATTTCCTAAACATGAACCTGCTGTTGGTTTACATAAAGGTCCAAGTGAAGTTGCTTTAATAATTTGATCATTTTCTCGTACAATAGGTGTTGCTCGATCAAATCTTTTATTAATTCGAGCATATTCAATTCCAAGATATTGTCGAACAATAACATTACCATAATTAACTCTTCGACCTACATAGATACCCGATGATGTGTTCAATAATTGAACAGCAAATGTTGAATCGAATATCGATGATAAAAACAGAATAATTGTCGTAATAGAGAATAAAAATATCTTCCAAGACATAAACAAGTGTAGTACATCTACTGTTGTCTAAGATTGATGTACTCTTCTTTTTAAGAGGGCGAGAAAGACAATAAAAAAAAATACAAATAAACAAAAGTGTCTTTTAGAGCCTGGAAATGGTCAGATTGTTTTTTTTTAATCTTACTTCAGTTCTCTCTTTACTGATATTAATGTCAGTCGATTTCGTATACAAATGACTGGTATAAACATTAAGAGTACTTATTGCTTAGCTTGCCATACTCGTTTCTAGCTAGCTTAATTGTTTGTTCGTGTTAATTAAACCGAAAATCATTGTGTATGCTGTCAACAGATGTGATCTCTCGTCGGTGACCACCAAATATGAAGAGAAGAAAGGAAAAAAAGATTCAATTACATAATCTAACAAGTCATCATCATCATCATCGGTGTCTAATTGACATGTATGCCAGTAGTAGGAAGTGTCGCTGATTATCTTTAGTATGCCATTTTTTGTCAGAATTTTATCTTGATAAGTGATAAAGGTCTACGATTCAATTATGATCATTAAATCCAAAATACATTTAGTTTTTTTTTTCCTTTTTTTCGTCTATACTCCTATCAACACTTAACTGTTACTATTGCAATCTTCTTTTCCTGTCTTCATTCTTCTTCTTATATGTCAATATACAAGTAAAACCAATATATTGTTTTGCCAATCTTTATTATTTATTAAACATTAAGTATGACAACATAAGACAAGGAAATAGATATGCATGAATGAATACAAATACACATACATAGACATTGAGAAAAAAAAGAAGATGAATTTATTTCTGTCAGAAAAAATGATACAAATAAAAATGATAAGAAGAGAATGTTAAATAAAATGTAAAGTAAAGTTCTACAAGTACATAAAATTTATTATAGATTTATTGAATGGTAATTTGTTGTTGTTTTTTTTTTATTTATGACGATGAAATGGCCACATAAGTCTAATCAAGGATCCGATGAATACAATAAAAACACAAATAAAAACGAATCTTATAAAATATTCTATATAGCGTATTTGAGTATTATTGCTCTCATGAGTTTCTGGTTCTATTGAGAGACTTCGATAAATGGCTTTTCGGAAGTTAATATGACCTATACTAGATCGACGATTGACAATATGATTACTTCAAGAAAAAAAAAGAACAACTTTTTTATTTTTATATTTAAGTTAGAAGT